GACTAGAGGATGACCAACACAAACTGTGCAGCAGCAGATGAGCTATCGTCTCTGACTTTACATCTACAAGGTGGACTGACAAGGTAGGAGTGTCTAATAGAGTGGACAGTGAGTGGACAGTGTTTAAAAATTCTGCTCTGTGGTGGTCCTGACCTTTAAAAAAACGGGGTGAAAGAGAGCTAATGAAGTATGTAGAGAAACAGATGGACTACAGCCTGTTATTGTAGAACTACAAAGTGCACCTATATGGAGCTGATAAAATGGACAAGTGTAGAAACAAGGCGGTGGTTTCTACAGGGAGATTCACTCGAAAGAGCTCCCGAATATTCTGTAATAACTCACTATAGGATGAAGCAATCTGAACGAAACAACGTGCAATGTGCTCCTCAGTATATGGAGCTTCAAACAAGTCGGGATGCCCCTGTGTCTGAGCGATGAGGTAGACACCGGACAGCCGTCACGACGTTTAACCTCCATTTGCATAACCCCCTACCCCCTAATGTGTCTGTCAGAAAACGGAGATCATTTCCAGCATCACATATAATGTAACTGATTACACACGCCAAGGTATGTAGTGTATTTTTTTGTTCCAGAATGCTTCATCCTAACGGGAGTTACAACAGAATATTCGAGGCCTCTTTCGAGTGAATCTCCCTGTATTTAATGTTATGGCTGATTTACACACACACACACACACACACACACACACACACACACACACACACAATTTTATGAGATACATGAATAAGTATTCAACTCCTGTGCAGTCGAAGCTCCACATTTACACAGATGAAAGATACTGCACTAACAAGAATACTGTTGGCTAACAGTTGACCTGCGAATCATTAAAAAGTTCACCTTTTCTGGATAAAAGACCCACTTAATCCAGGTACCACTGTTCAGACTGTGAATCTGAATGAGCTCTAAAAATTAAAAACCAAAGAGCATTCTAAAAAAAAAAGTGATAAAGTTACAAACATGCATCAGAAAAGAAAAGGCTACAAAATAACAAGTGTTTTTATCCCAGTGAGCACTGCTGGATCAGTTGCAAGGAAATGGAAGCTGTCCTTCAAAACCCAACAACAGAGGAAAAATGGGACGTGTGAGGGGAAACCACAGAGAGGCCAATGATCACTCTACAGAGTTTGGTAGCTGAGACTGCAGTGAAGGTGCACCGGTCAATGATATGAAGAGCTCTACATACAATTGGCCTCTGTGTGAGGGTGGCTAGAAAGAAGCCATTACTTTATATAAAAAAAAATAAAAAAAAAAAAAAAATACGTGGAGTTTGCAAGAAAGTGACACTGCTAAAATGTGGAATAAGGTTTTGTGGGCAGACAAAAATGGAGCTTTTCAACTCAAAACATGTATGGCGCAAACCTAACACTGCTCATTCCTGCACAAACACTATCTCAGCAGTGAAGTATGGCAGTGGCAGCATCATGATGTGGAGATGCTTTTAAAGCTGTTAAAACTGATGGAAGGCTGGATAAGGCAAAATACAGGGACTTAAGACATTCGGCTTCAGTCTCCTAAAAATACTAATGCTTGAGAGAAACTTAATCTTTCAGCAAAACTATGATCCCAAGCGCAAGGCCAAAGTAACACCAAAATGGTTGAACAAAAAGGGGGAATGTTCTACAACGACCAAATCAAATCCAATCAAGAACCTGTGGCAATTTTTGAAAATTGCAGTCCACTTGCATCCAACCAACCTGAGAAACCTGGAGCAAATCTGCCAGGAAGAATGGGTGAAAATCTCTCCCAAACAGTGTGCATAGATAGTAGAAATTTACCCCAGACTTAAAAGCTGTTATTGCAGCAAAAGGTGGTTTTACCAAGTACTAGTCTGAAGAGGGTGAATACTTATGCAAGCAGCATTTCATAATTTTTTTGTTTTTTAAAAAGATTTGCTGAGCAATAGTGAATTTAAGTATTAAATCCAGAGTGGGAAAGTGAATGTGGGGCATAGTTAAACTTGACGCTAACAACACAGGAAATTACATTTGAGGCACTTGCTGCAAATTTGGTAAGCAAAAACCACTTACAAGGTGAAGGATCCTGCCTAAGAACACATTCTTATGCAGAAATCATTCATGAAATGACAATGGATAGCTAAAAGTTCTTGTCCTCCACTAATGGCCCATGACTGCTTGACAATAACAGCATAGTAAATGAACCTGGGGAAGAACTGTTTATAGCATTTATAACATTACATTATTGAAAACCTGAGTATTATGTATATTTAGTCATTTTTTGTTGTTACTGTTTTCTAAAAGCAATAAAGCATTTCAGTAATTCGGGGTTTTTCTAGTGTTTGAGTTTGAGCATATTGTGAAGAATGAAAAAGATAAAATTACAGCAACACTGCCTTGTGTGCTTTATTTCATTGTGATGAGACACTGCCAGACTATTCACTGTTATATATTGTTTGAGGTTATTTTGATCCAGCTATGAGCAATAAATTAGAACCTGCTTCTGTAATATCCTTCAGAATATGTCTAGGAACGTAAAATGTCTAGAAGCTGATATTTCTGGTCGTGAATGTAAACTGATTAAGAAAAACCTTTTTAAGAAGGGCCTCAGAAGTGCATTACACAGTTCGATCATGGTTGGTATTAGCACAAAGGAAATACAGATGTGTATATTCTATTTATATTCTACAGAAAAAAGCTGAAGTGGCTGAGCTAAGCCTTCATTAAAGGTTACTTTAAAGCAAAACACAGACAAGAATTGACTAAACACACAGAAAAACAGATTACAGATAAGTTAAAAAAAACTTGATTAGTTTAAGATGTGTTATAGATGCAATTTATCCAAAAATCTGAAAACTTATTGACGAGACCAAAAATAAATACATTTCTGCCTGCAGCGTCTTGCCTTGCATTCCTTTAACAGGAGTTGCAAAAACAAACTTTTCACTACACCCAATACCTAAATGTCAGAGCTATCAGGTCTAATTTCTCCATAACCTGTTCATCACTCAATGACAGCAGAGTGAATCCTCCTAAAGAGGATATGAAAACTCAATGCATATTGATTTCAGAATCCTACCAAAATTCAAGATGTTGAGAAAGCAGACTTCTTAAGAAATCGCAGATGCAGGGAAGGTCCCAAAAGTAATTTTGAAACAAATACCATCCTACAGGCAAGAGGGACTGAAGAACACTGCAGTAGCCTGCATTCACAAATCTTGTCTATAAGGTGCTGGACAAACTCAGATCTTTTTAAAGACTATTCACCTTATTCTTTCACCCCATGATGCTTTGAGTGACTTGCGGCCAGAACGTCCTGCAAAGAGTAAAAACAGACTATACATGTTAAATATGTTAAGTGCTAGTGACATCCTAACATAACAAATGTGGGAATGAATGAAAATGCAAATAATCCTTATTGTGAGGAGGCTTGAATGCTTGTGTCCTGATGTTTGTAACTGATCTGTGAAAAGAACCTGAACCTGCATGAGAAAGACGCTTCAGTCAGAGGATTACATTTTCAATTTCAACCTTTTTATTTTGTTTACACCATCATTGTACAAACCCCTAAAGCAATGCCATTACATTGTACAGTGTAGAAATCTGTTAACTCGCTGAAGTTTTTTTCAAACCAGCGACACAAAAATTCTTTTAGTTTCACCATATGTTAGTGCCAAGCTAGCAGGGGTAAGCATGGCACTCGTATTTCACATCTGACATAGCAATATGGCAAAAATCACCATACTTCAAGACAATAACAATAAATGATAATCTTGCCCACCCCTACATACGAGTAATATTTTTTGCTTTATAGGTCTCAGTTTTTTAGTAACTCTTGCTTTAAAAGCTTGAACTTTAGGTCTCTTGGACATTAATGGCCATTAGCCTGTTTGCCCATTAGCTTTCTGCTAACCTCTCAGCCTACTTTAGTCAGGGAGAATATACAGTTATAAAGAGGATATAAAGTGTAAACCAGTTAAATGGAGTCTGTTAGTATCAATTAGTGATGTTTAGCTGGCAGTTTGATGTGGTGAATTTTATGGGCACAGATTTGTGATTTAGAAGCAACAGTTGCAGGTCTTCTGAAGCTCTACACTTTCTTGATAGGTTTATCTTAGTTCGATTCCTGTTCTTTTAGCCTTAGTCGGCAGTAGTGACCACTGCAAAACTGCATGCTGTCCCAGAAACACCTGAGAGACCCTTCCACTCCCCAACAGAATGTTTTGGCCATAATTGTGAAACACAGTGGTCACATGAAAAAAAAGTGGATGTTACAAAACAGGCCATGACAACTTTCAGTAAACCAAAAAGTTGTATGGTGTGATCACTTCCCACACATTTCGTTTATTAAGTGTCAACTTTCTTTTTATATTCCATTAGCAACTAGGCATTTGCCCTTCTCAGGCAATGCTCAGGCCAGCTCATATTGATCCTGAAAGCAACATCTCACCCAACCATGATATAAATCCATCGCATGCCTGGTTTAGTGGCTCATTGCCATTCATTTATTCAGGAGAGAAAAGCAATCATAGCTAGTCTCAGAACTTGTTTGAATATTATGCACATGGTCAGCATTCCTAAACGCTCCTCACCTGCTTTGGTACTATAGATAAATAAAGTAATGAAACTTCAGGAGTTCAAGTTATTTGCATTTATCAGTCCCCTGACTGTTCTCTGAAGATTCAATTCTGATTTGAACTATAAAATGTTGCATTTTCTGCAAGTCTTCTTGCTTTAGACTGTACAGAAACAAAATGTAAACCAATGCGTCATATAAGTCAGAGCTCAGTCATCCATTGTAGTAAGCAACATTAAAGTCTAAATATTCAGGTATCTCCCCATAAGTACATGAAACACATCATACATCATCTGAATGCCCCTTGAAACATCCTGCATTTAATACTTTAAGTGCACCCCATAAATTTTCATAGCTTAAATCACTGTTTTGAGAATGTCTCTACCAGCAATCACAAAGCCCAAAATGAAAATGCTCAGCAAAAGAACCTTAAAACATCCATTTATTGAAGTCTATTTTTCACAGAAATTGCATCTAAAAAGGTACATTTGTAAAAGACTGATGGTCTGCTTCCATACTGTTAAAAGTCCATAAAAGGCTCTATGATCAGTCTAACTCATCAAACCAGTAGTGCATAAGCAACCATTATTTGCCACAGTACGACAGTGGTGGACAGAACCTAAACTTTTACAGAGCTATATTAAAAAAAGACACTGACAAAGAAGTGAAAAGACAAATAAAGAGAGACAAAACAGACATAAAAAAGGACAGTTAGCAGGTTTGGTTACCTGCCTCTGCTACCTCAAGATTCCTCACGAACAGGAGTACAGCCAGAGAAAAAGCTGTTCTTGAAATTGTTCAGTCCTCGTTTGTTCTTCCTCAGAAAGCTTGGCATACTCGTCTCTTCAAATTCCTCACTGTCACTATCAAAATCAGCAGGAACTGGTTTCTTCTCGAGCTTTAAAACCGAGGATAGTTGGCCCATGTCTCCCATTTCCTAATAGCAATAACACAGGGAAGAAAAACAAATGACAGTGTCATTATGGTCGATTTGTAAAGAGTGGCCATCGCTTTACGCGTTCCATCTGGCTAACAACATCCTTATAACAAAGGGAGGAGGGGAGGGGAAAAAAAGTTTTACATTTTTAGTTGGCGGAACGCAAGGAGGCCTGAAGAAGGTGGCATCTCGAGGGCTTACAGCAGTGGGGTCTTCCGGAACAGAAACAGAGTCCTTTGACGCATTTATTTCAGTCATATCCTGAAGTAAAAAAAAAAAAAGGGGGGAAACAAACAAACAAACAACTGATTATGTAAGGCCTTTGGGTAGTAACACAGTAGCCAAATATGAATATAGAACCCCCATTCTTTCTCACCGCATTAGCACGGTTCTCCATGTTGCGGCACTTCTCGTGGTCACAAAGACAGTTCTCACCACAGGTCATTCTTCCCTTCCGACAGCGGCACAGTTTATTGACACAGCGGCCCTTACATGCACACTACAGAGAACACAAAAAGAAAGGCATGTTGAATGAGCTGATGTGGCTGTTGACAGAAAAACTTTAGACTGAAGCAGACGAGTAACCTTTAATAAAGGAGTGCTGTTTTTATTAACCACAACAGTGTAAATTTTTAAAACAATTCCAGCCTGAGCAGGTAAAGGGGGTGTCTTGAAAGGAGAGAAAGTAGGGAGAGAGAGTTTCAGCTCCTAAAGTTAATATTTATCTCCAAAATCAATGACCACAATGTCTCACCCCAGTCATTTTAGATTTCCTGGGGCCTCGTCGGCTTTTCTCCTTCTTTTCTGGGAGCCACTCTTCCTCCTCCCTCTCAGACTCCGATGGGGACACCAGCTCATCTAGGTCAATGATGGGCTCCTGCAGAGGTGCCCGGGCTGTGGAGTAGCTTTTGGCCTTGGGCTTTGAGAAGACAAACAGTGACAATTATACAATAGGGTTCAACTACAGGACACAAGAACGTGTTCACCTTGACCAACGTTTTTATTTTAAACTTACAAACCTAGCCTGAATTGTATGTAATTTTTTTTTGAACAATTTATTTTTTCCTGCAATCTTTCACCAAAATGTAATGACTCGTCACCTCTAAACTATCTTCCGATTACGTCACTGTGTACTACCAGGAAACTATATAACATTTACCAATGAAATATGTAACATGTACATACTTTGGATCTAGGACAGAGAAATACTGGGTTAGTCAACTATATACAACAGCTGTGTATCTTGCCAATCTGTGGAAAGTTTTCAAACACAGCCGTCCTCATAAATGGGTAGCTCTGAAACAGACATATGAAACATTTTACAAAATTGAAGACTCACCTTAGGAGGGATATATTCAAATGACGTGTCAGGAGATTCAGACACAGCTGGAACTACTTTCTTAGCGCTAGTCAGCTGAGCCAGAAGTAATTTCTGTTGATATAAAGTCAAAACAAAATAACCCCTATTAAATCCTGAAGTAGTGGTTACTGCCTGGTAAATGACATTTGTGAACCATAAAGAAAACCAAATGTTATCCATTTGAATTTACTTAATGCCAGATTTTACCTGCTTGTATTGTTCATTCTCTTCCATGAGTTTCTGGTTTTGTTCAGTGAGCTCCCGCATCTTCTCAATCTCTTCTTCCTGTTAAAATTTAATTTTTAGTCATGCTAAATGTTCTATATTACACTATATCCAAGACTCCACAGCACATCAGCCCAGGAACTGATCAGGTTAGGAATGAGAAAAGGGGGTTTCAAGAGCTACAGGCCATCATCCCACCTGGAATTTCATGCGCTGTAGCAGCTCTCTCTCCCTTTTAGACATCTCCTGCTCATTCTTTTCCTGCTCCTCTGCTATAGGCTTGTTCTGGAGCTGGCTGAGGAGATACAACACCTAGAGGGATGCAGCACCAAAGAAATCATTAGAAATACACACACCTAAACTTCAAACACTATGAAAAATGTGAAATAAAAAAGTGAAGGGGGAAAAAAAATAATAATAAAAAAAATAACTAACTACATACATTGCGTTTATATATATATTTTTTAAAGTAACCTCATATAACTCATATTAGCTCACTGGAGTTTATCAATAATATTTTTAAATTATTAAAAACCATCCCTAGAGATCAAGTAGTTAAAAAGTAAAACAAAACGGTTCCTGCAATGCTAGAATATGTAAAAGCTCACTTTCTCTTGGTGTCTCTGCTCTATTTCCACCAGATGGCTCTGATGCTCCATTTCCATGGTGGACATGAGCTTCCTCTCATCACACAGCACCTTCTGCAGGTCCACGTGGTTGGCTCGCTCCTGCTTCAGTTCACTCTCCAGCTTGGCATTTGCTGTTTTGGCAGTTACAACCTGCATTGTATATACTTTGTGTTAAAACAGTGTTTACAATACCAGAATAAAATAAATGAACAAACAAACAAACAAACAAACATACAAACAATACAAACAATACAAACAATACAAACAGCAAAATCACAACACCACTATAGAACAGGAATTTAGCACATCCACATAGTATGGGCCGGTATACTTAATTTCTGATGGATTCAGTATCTCATGATATATCACTTTAGAACTTTCTAGAAAATCTAATTCATCTTTACATGTTTTGGAAATATTAATGGAAATGTATAGTTGAGTTCTTGCAACAGAAGTATAAGAGAGACATCTACAGGTGTAATCAATGATCTGGCCTAATTTAAATGTTTAAGAAACCTATATTTGTAACTTAACAGTGGCCTATTACACTGGGACAACATTTCAATAAAAACCATAATCATTAACTTTCTTAAAACTGAAATGTGTGTAAAACAGTAAAAACAGATATACAGATAAACCTATGGCCTGAGACCTGGCTATGAGATCACGGCGCTGTCTAATGCAGGTGACCAAGTGAGGCCGCACTGCAGGCAGACAAGAGGAAACTGAGGCATAGCTAGTGATCTGTTGTCCATGCTAGGCTAAAGGCGCATCCCAGTTGCTCCTTTATACATTATCCTCCAAGAAATACGGTGCGGTATGCATGCTGCATCATCTGTGCTTACTTGTTGCGTTCCAATTAAAAGGTTCTGATAAAGCTCATACCTTAGGAAGAAATTAAATCTGTATACCACCTGCTACCACATACAAAACTACTAACAACTTAGGAATAAGATAGTGACAGATCAAGTCACTGAAAACAGATGTGCCAACACCTGGAGTCGGTTCTCACCTCAGACATGAGGATTTTCAAAGCGCTCTTTGCCTCCACAATGGTGGTGATCGAGTCCCAGCGCTGTTTCATGCGTCCCTCATTATCAGCATCCAGAACCTTCTGCTGCAGGTCAGCTATCTGAGCACTCCTGGGTATGACAGAGTGAGAGAGAGATGAGCCAAATTAAAACCAAAAATGTAGTACAGAAACACTCCCAAATCACTGTAACAGGAGAGCAAAAGCCAAGAGAGTTAGTATAAGCTTTAGTTTAACAGAGGCTAGTTTACGTAAGTGGCTGACCTGAGTCCCATCTCAGTCTCCAGGTTCTCCACTTGTTTACTGATGGAAGCCTCCAGATCCCCCTTGCCCTCCAGCTCTGAGATGGTGAGGGTACGACGCTTTAAGAAACAGCAAAACAAAAATCAGGTCGCGCACCAAATTTAATGTATGACAGACAAGAAATCAAAACCATGTGAGCCATGGTGGATATGAAACAAAAATCACATTACAGAAATTGTACCACCACAATCAGTAGAGACTGTGCCACTACAAACAGTAGCATTGCAAAAAATGAATAACATTCAAGTATTAATGTGAACAAATTGACTTAATTGTGGCCTGTAAACATGAGGTAACAATTTTTGGCAAAATTCTGACAAACTATGAGCTAAATTGCTACCATGGTATAAAAGCCACTTTGTTTAAGCCTTCTCACTGTTTTGAGCTACAGAAAGTAATAAGCAATGGTTAAAAAATAAGTGATAAATATGTATCTCAACAGTTACAGCTCTTCAAGCTGCAGAATCATTTAAGCCATTTACCATTTTAACACGCTAGTCTACTGGACAAGCTATATGAAAACAGGTCTCAAGACGAATGGATGGCATTTTTTTCCGTGTGAAAACCGTTTGCAAAGTAAGTTGTATTTTACAGGATTAATCAGCCGTACGCAGCTAGCCAGCTAGCTAACTAGCTAAGGTATGTAATGCTGTGACAGGACATGCTCCTTAACGTTCAATAGTTTTTTTGAAGTGATAAATACTTCTTATAACCAGAAACCGATAAGGTTTAGGATATTCTTGCAACTAATGTTAGTAATGTAACACACTAAGCTTTAGTGGTCTTTATAAAAGGTAATGTTAGCTCTGACAAGTCACTTACAGTACAATCTGCATGTCTTTAGGGAGTATTTTGGTTTATCAAAACACTGGAGAGAAAGCTACCATTTTCTGTTTTGATGCTTCAGAATCAACACCAGCATGTTTTCAAGTCAGACTAGCATACATTGCATGTGACTACTTTATCCTTTCTTTTTCAACTTTCAGCCCTAATTGTTCTTTTTTCTTTTGCTAACAGCTCACATAAGGACAACACTAAGTGAACTGCTGCCCTCTGGAGGTTAAGTTGTTAACTTACACTACATGTCAACACCTGAAATGTTTTTACTTCATTGTGGACGTTGTCAATAATGTTAAATAACTGTTGCACGTCAGCATTTGTTTTCTATTCTATTCACATAAAGTAAATTAAGGGAGATCCCTATAAAAGCTAGCATTATAGTGCATAGGAGAGAGAAATAACACAGGCAGTTTCTTAACAAACCTCTTTCTCTCCCTCTCTCTGAAACTGACTACTGGTGTGCGAGCTAACACACTTCTTTAACGTGAACCCCAGCCACCCTCCAGTTTTTAAGCTGTTTAAAGCAGTCTTGAAATGCAGCCCACCTAGAGCAATCTAGCATTTGGTACACCAGTTACTGTTTCTGGTCTACTGATGGACCAATAAGGTACCTCATGGGCCAATATATGAACATTAAACAAAAAAACGTTTGAGCTGACAGCTGGCAGATGGGAGTGTTTACCCGGACTTTAGCCGCAGGTCGCTCTCCAGACTCCATCTGCTGGCGGAGCTGTGAAATCTCCTGAGCCAGGATCTTCCTATCCTCAAGCAGGTCTTGCAGGTGCCGGCGGGCCTCCTCTGTACTGACCAGTACCTCCACTTCGTTCAGCAGCCATGCCTAACAGAAGGAGGCCAGAAGTTTGAACTTTCATGTGCATTCTGAAGTCACATGCATAACTCTGTTAAGACAAACATGTAATTCTAGATACAACTATAGCAACATGCTTGAGTTTAATTTTGCTATCAGTAAATGTCAAGCATATAGAGCATACACATGTTTAGAAGTTTGGTGTACCTTGACTCTGCTTGCCACACCCTCCATGCCACGGTTCTGGACATCTTTACGCTTTTCAGCTACCTCACTTCTCTTCTGCAGAGCATCTTTCAGACGTTTGTTGGCTGCAGCAGCCTGTGAACATGCAAATTAACTGATCAGCTCAAAGAAACAGTTTCCAGTCAACTGCTGGCATAAGTGTCTTTCAAAAACTGTACAGTTTACTTTGTTTCTGAATATAATTTTCCCGAAAGACTATAGTTTTTGTTAAGTTTAAATGTTAATCTCTTTATTCACCTAAAGACTGTATATGTGAAGAAAACTCAAAAGTCCCTTTGAGACGAAGTTACCTCCTCAGTTTTGCGGCGTAACACATTTGCCTGTTTCTGGAAATCTCTTTCCAGCTTCAGCATCTCGTATTGCCGCTTACGATCCTGCCGAGAGAAAAAAAAATCTGGATTGGAAATAGGATACAAAGCAAATAAACTAATCAAAATTTTACATTCCAGACAAACTTATCAGTCTGCCTGAAACAATCATGCGAAATCCAATCAAAACACAGAACTGCTACTTTGGCTGCTGTTTAAAAATTCCCACCTTCTCTTTGAGCTGCATGACCTCTTTATCCTTCTTCTGCTTCCACACACGGAACTTCTCAGAGTCTTCCTTCATCTGCCTCATAAGCTGCACCCGCTGGGCCTTCATTGCCTACACATTTACAAAAGTACACCATATTACTGTGTTTAACCTTAAGAAAGAAAGCAGAAAGACTAAAGTCTGGCACTGCAGTATTTAGCTAGACCTGTCAGTGCTAAAAGGATCTGAGCATAATGGCTATTACAGGACTTAAGCAATTCAAGTAAACCAAGAATCTTTTTGGTTTGCCCATCAATGCATGTATTCTAGAAAATTATACAAGGCCTTGTTACTGTGTGGGCTGCTAAACTGCAAACATACCTGAATCTCCTGGTTGAGCTTAGCTACGCTCCGCAGTGAGGACTCCTTTAGCTTGAGCAGCTTGGACTGATCCTGCAGCTTCTTCTTCAGCTCTGTAATCTGCCCCTCTAGCTCCTGCAACCTCTTCCTGCGTTGCTCACTCAATCTGCATAGACACAGAGAAATGTGGGAAGAGGGGGCGGAGGGCGGACAACCACAAAGCAAGGGACAGGAAAATTTGTCATTACACAAGCTAACTGCAGCATGCAGTTTAGGTAATACATGCTTTGGACAGCTTACTTTGCCTGATTGGTATCTTTCTTAGCAGAGTGCAGTGCCAGGATCAGTTCTTCCTTCTCTTTCTGCAAGGATCCAACCGCAGTCTGCAGGCTTTTTATGTTTTCCTAGGGGTGTGAGGATGTATACTTTCAGGCAACAGTACCAACATATCACAGTGATGACAACGGAAAACTCATCCATTTCTACAACAGGAATAGTGCTACAACAGGAAGAGTACTGGTAACAGACCTCTGATGTTGTGCATCATTTTGTAATCAGAACCATGCCCAAATAAAGAACTTTTCTATGGGAAAAATGAAGTGTTCTTAAAAAAAAAAAATACATAAATAAATAAAAATACATACAAAATTCACTACACATAGTGACAAATCATGTCCTAAATCTGTCTTTTCCCTTGAATGTGACTGGAGCCTCTGAATTACAAGGCTAAACTGTTGAAACTGTTGTGGAACAAACAAATAATTGTAACCAAAGGAAACCTTCAAAACAGATTTCAAAAATATTGGCACCACTTTAAATATCTGGAGAATAACAGCAACGAGTCACTTTCTGTAATACTTCATAAGGTTGGAGAACACTTGTTAAGGGATCATGGACCATTCCTGCATGCAAAACAGTTCCATTTCTTTGAAATTCTTGAATCTTTGCTTGTGGACTGCCCTCTTCAATACAGGTACGAACCTTTTGGTTTGACCTCTTTGTCACTGTCGCAGAACTCAGATTTTGTGTTCCTGCAACCATTTTTTTGTGGAATTTTTGATGTGTTAGGGGTCATTATATTGCTAAAAGGTCCACCCACAAGTTTCAGCCCTCTACAGAGCTAAACAGACTTTTGGCTAAAATCTCTTGGTATTTAGCAGACTTCATCATCCCACTTAATTTCACTAGCAGCAAAACAGCCCCAAAGCATCAGTGATCTACTCGCAGATTTGAAAGTAGGCATCGGCTGCTTCTCACTGTATGCACCAAACCTGACGATGGTGTTAATGACCAAAGGTAGATGACAAAGCCGTTTACATGGGACTAGAGGAGACTAGAGGCAATTAAAAAAAATATATATGATTGCTTGTGCCCAGTTTTTTAATGGGTGCCAATAATTTTGAGGTTGGGGCAGTTTATACTTAGCTTACTGCTTAAATCTGATGTTGACAACACAAGCTACCAGTCTCCCTACCTGATGTTCTGTTTGTATGGGTTCCAAGTGACTGTCATTCTGGCACATTTTCTTAACAAAGGCCTCCTTCAGCGCGAGGACCTTATTGAGCTCAATCAGCTCTTTGGACAGCTGAGCTTGCCGCAGAGCATGCTGGGTAGTGTAGGCCTCAGGAGAGTCTTTTTGTGCATCAGCACTGCTGGTCTAAAAGAGAAGTTAAAGTCTCAGATACAAAATCATCATGCATACCATTAAATACTGTACCGACAATATGAATCCCTGTATTGAAAGAATGCAACAGGTACCAGGGGTGAGGCACTGGCGGGACTGCCACTCGCTGTGTCTGTAGAGTTTCCTTCGCCGTCAACATCCAGAGATGTAGAATTGCCTGACGCCATGGCATCTATGGTGGCTGCAATCCCTGCACTCTCATTCTACAAAGAAAAATTGATCTGACAACCTCAAAAGGTAAAAATCTCAGCATACACCCAGTAAAAAAAAGTTGTCAAGAAACAATACATGATTTACAGAGCTTATATACCACAAGCCAAAAATATGTGAACACCCTTTCTAATTAGAGGGTTTGGCAGTTTCATCCACACCCAGTGCTAACAGATTCATGAAATCAAGCATACAGCTGTGCGATCACCGTAGACAAGGATTGGCAGTAGATTGGGTCATAAGTTCTTAGTTAGTTTGCTACCCAAATTCTTTTTGTTTCTGCTAATTACCTCATTTTCTTATTTTTCATCTATTCTACTGATAAATAAAAGGTAGTTTACGTTTTAACATGTTCTTCTAATGCAATAAGTTAGGCATGGATACATTTTTATTTGGACACATTTTTGTTAAAAACATGTTTGATATACTAACCATGATTGTGTTGTGTGTTCAGATTCACCAGTTTGCTCATATTTGGTGCCCCAGTGGTACAATCAGATGCCATGGAACTCTACCTGCATGATTGCATAAAGTCTACCGTACAGTCTGGGAAGAGGGATAATGGTCTGGGACTATTTCATGGTTGGAACTGGATAAGTCTGGATAAATTTTGGTGCAGAATAATTTGACTGGCCTGCACAGAGCACTGACCTCAACCCCATCAAACTTTGGGATAATTGGAACGCAGACTGCGAGCCAGGCCTCATCATTCAACATCAGTGCCCTGAGACTGAATGAAAGCAAATCTCCAGTCATTTCCAAAATCTAGTGGAAAACCTTCACTGAACAGCAGAGGCTGTTACAGCAGCAAATAGGGGAATGTCTTTATAGTAAGGCCCCCGGTTTTGCAATTAGATAGCAAGACACATGAATGTGATTGGGTTTGGGTGTCCATACACTGAGTCTTTCACAAGAGAAGACAAACAGATTCAAGCAAAATTCATGCTGAACAATAAGCAGAATATACATGAACTGGCCCTTAACATTACTTTGTGCATTTTTCAAGACCTAGTGGCCCTTACTTGTAACTCCAGGATGAGGTGCTGAAGGTTGCGGATAACCTCCACATTCTCCTTCAGCTCTTGATCTTCAAGTGTCTCCACCATCTTCTGTAGGTCCACTTTACACCTGAAACAGATAAAGAAACCACTGAGCACATCCATGTCAATCACGTGCCATCGTCTGGATTTTATATATCATCAAGTAGCAACACACCCTATCATCAGCAAAAGACATCAAACTTACGCAGCATGCTGCCTCAGTTCTTCTAGTTTACTCTGAAGTTTCTCGTTGGTTTGCTCTGTCTAAAGGGACGATCAACAGAAATTGATTAACTCCACAATCAGAGAGCAATGGAATTCCATTAGGTTTCCATAATCTTTCATGAGGGGGGGAAAACAAGTTAGCCAGCTCAGTGTTGCTCGCCTTGGAAATGTACCTCCATGAATTTGGGGGGGGCTGAGCTTCTGAAGGAGCACTGAAGCGTGGGAATGTATTTGTTTTGCTGTTGAGTTTAATTTAACACTTGTTCTCCAGAATCATATACCGCACCTTTAAAGGAGTGTGTCTTTGGCAAGACAAATGACTTATATTGTATTTGGATAGGATTAATTGTACATGGTGAGAAGAGGGAATGTACTTATTATGCTACTGATGTTTCAGTGACTTTGGTCCTGTCCAAATACACAACAGGGCTGCAAATTTTTTTTGGGTTGTGTAAACAAATCTAACCTCTCTTTAAACTCCTCTTCAAACAAATAGCAAAATACAAAATTACAAAAGCACCGCTTACTACTCTGCAAATAACGAGAAATGAAATACTAACAACTACTTATCAGCACTGCAAGCACATTTTTTGTGCACTGAGGGGCTGAGTAACTTGTCAGGATTACTGCAACAGCTTTTTCTATAAAGGCTACAGAATCAAATAAATTTTTTTTCATATAGGCACACAAGAACAAATACATATTCTTATTTCATTTTACTTTCTTGTTTAGTTATTACATGTTGTGGCGTCAGACATGTCAGGTTGTATTTAGTTTGAAAATATTGTTCTTGCTTTTGGTTGAATGTAGTTAGGTGTGTTTTAATTTGGTCCAAGACACTTATTTTGAAGGACTCTGGGGGGTATATATGGTAGCAAGCTTTAGTAGCCCAGCTGACTAGCAGCAAAACAGTAGAGCCTGAGCTAGCCTGTGTGCTGCGTGTTTTCCCTTTTGCTGTATTTTAAGGTCTCCGAGTGTGTGTTGTAGTTGTATCCATTTGGCCACATGGTTAAGTTACACATCTCCTGCGTGGAAGAGCAAGCTCAGTCACAGTGCAGAGAAGCAGGCTTGTAACAGTTTGTGCAGGTAGTGTAATGTGCCACAAATCTTTGCATCTGCAACTATTCAAAATCAATACTGTGTTTCTGAGAACCAATACAGTATTACAAAACATATCGCGATACTCAAGTGTACTGATATCCCCTGCCCCGCACCAAAAAAAAAACAAAAAAAAACAACCCAACTCCTACAGAGATGATAATCTGGGCTGGGTTTCCAAAAAAAAATAAAAATTAAAAAAATGAAAAAATTAAAAAACCATAGTATATAAAATCATAAAATTAAAAAAAGGTTTAAAATTGTGAAAACATAAACGTTCTCTGCTCTGAAACACGTGTCTGCTAAAAGTCGACTTCAGATTTGTGCTCTCCAGAAAGTTCCTGCTGCACCATTTAAGGTGGTATGAGAAAATTCGATTAAGTTGGTGAACAGGAAGCAGACTTCGACTTCATGGTAATGTTAGCAGATCTATTAGCTCGCTAGGTTGAGCAGCTAAGCCTCTCTTGGATTGAAATGAAGCTGCTATCAGAGTTCCAGCTGACACAAACACATAGAAGAATTCCCTCTTGTCCAATTCGTAGCCAGAGGACACTGACCTACCCGAGAATCAACCTTGCACCTCAGTCTGTGACAGAATGGTCTTTTTTTCTCCCTTTATGCAAATTTGCAACAGGTATCACTGAGTGAGCACAACCTAGCCAGGTAAAGTTAGGCTGGAAGAAACACTGACGCTTATGTGTTGTGTTTTATGTTATCATGTTAGTCATAACGTCATAACGGGGGTCATGCTAAGTATGGCTCCAGTGCATCATCAAGCCATGATTTCAGGCTCGCCCTAAAAATCCTGAACACAAAAACGATGAAAAACAGTTTAACTAACTCTACAATTAAGTACTACAAATCTCTGAATCTATTTTACCCGGACTTTAAGATAATCTTAACACTAAGATGCTTTTGGGAAACCCAGTCCTGGACATTCCAATAAATTAATGATGACATTGTGCACTTTAACAGAGCCAAAACATTAAACGTCTGTATGTCCATGTCCACATATTTACGGACTACATTATATCCAGAACTAGATTAATGTACCTACCATAATGATCCTTTCAAACATGAGGGCAGTCTGTCCTACAGCCTCACCGAGTTCTCGACTCAGTTTGTTGTTTTCCTCCTGCAGACAGCGGTTTTGCTCCAAAATCTTAGACACATTCTCAGCTGGCTCAGACCTTAAGCAAAAACAGGTTAACATTAGGGGCTTCATTCTGAAGGAGCTTTACAATGCTGAATATAGGCTTTATGTCTACAGTGTATGTATACAACTGTCCTTCTTAGAGAGATATCAGCAAAACAGTCTCCTACCCTGAAAGAACAGGAGCTACTCCTCCACGGGCATGCAGCAACATCACCTGAAGCTCTTGAACCTGCCAAACATAGCGGAGCATTTAGTTACCAACAACAAGTAACACTCAGAGCACTGGTCCATTTGGCAAGCACTGATACCTGCTGCTTAAGCCGTTTCATCTCAGCAGCCTGCGGATCTATGTTTAGAACAGGCTTGTTCTTGATTTTACGGGCACGGTCTGCATAGCGCAACGTGTTGATGGTCTCCTCAATGTTGGAGTCAGCAGGACTGATGCATGCAATCATTAAGGTGTGGCTGTTCCCTCCCAAGGAGTCTGTAAAGAGGCAAGAAAAAAAAAAAGACGCAAATTAGTTGAAGTTTTACTTCACCCTAGGACATCAAGAAGAATCATGATGCATATTATGACAAATCTCAGCAAGTAGAAATGGTATATCTGTATGACGGTATCAGGTCAATACCAGCAGAAAATCCTGAAATAGCATTCATTCATATTGTGTGATGTAAGCTGTGTATTCCTACCTGTACAGTAGAGTGTTTGAGTAGTCTGAGCATGACAGTCTACTTTCAAGTGCTTCAATTAAAAATTCTTCATTTTATAGCTTAGCAATACAAAAAAATTATCTGATCAGTGTCAGCTGATACCCAAGGTATCAAGTATTGTTATCAGAAAAGAATAAGTGGTATTGTGCCATCTTTCTCAAGAAGTTTTAAGCGCTCAGAATATGCTTACCCTGTAGCAGGCGGGTCAATTTGGAGTCTCTGTAAGGCACAAAGGTACCCTTCTTGCTCTCATCACCAAGGGCACTGATCACATTTCCCAGTGACAACAGGCCTCTGTTGATGCTGATACCTGGGAAAGAAAATAAGAGACAAATTTTTGGGATCCGCAATAAACCACCTGGCTCAGCAACAAATTGTTGTGCGCGCCCAGCACAAACACTCACACAGTGTGAACAGTTCAGCAGCGTGGGTTTGCAACAGACACTCATGCTCTGTATGTATTCAGGAACTGGAGGTGAGGCTATGGAGTGACTACAATTCCTTCTTTGAAAAATCATGAAAATAGATTTTTTTTTGTTCTCCTTTCTGCACAAATTAGCTACAAAAACTACAGCAAGTTTCTGAAGCACCAGTTTGGCTCTCCTGGCAAAACACCCATGTAGTGTCATCTGCGACCACTCATGTAGTGTGCACATGGCTACGTCAAACAGGTCTCAGGTGATACATGTGTAAGGATTCTTATTTTTTGAATATTGTGTAGTGTCCACTAGGCATCATTTACTCAGCCAGGTAAATAACTCTCACCCTCTTTGAGCCGATCTCCTTCTGCCTTGGTTTTCTTCTGTCTCTCAGATCCAGCGAGATCTACCAAGTGCAGCTTGGAGACCACTACATCACTCCTAAGAAAAACAACAGGCCCATGTTTTTCAAAATAAAGTTGTTTACTCTGGGTAAATTTTTCAACATTTAGCTTAACGCTCATCAAAGTGTCTTCCTTGGTAGGATTTGCCAACTTCCAAACTACTGTTTGAATATTTTGAGCCCAAAGGGGGCTGAAATAGCTGAATGATTGGAGTGCTGATGAATGCTGACATCACAACAAGAAGAGTAAAGAAACAAACAATGACATTACTCCCAACGCTGCACTTTTGTCAGCTGTACTTTCTGTTTTGCAGTTTATGCAAGGAAACATGGCAAGCTCTAAAATTCTATTATTGTCTATTTATTGTATTACAGCAAACCGAAAAACATGCTAATGTGTTTATAAAAAAAAAAAAAAAAAAGACAGGGTTAACGACCTTATGAGTGAGCACAGCATCTAACTGATGTCATTCACTTACTTGTCACCTCCACGACGCTGCTCCAAGTTAACTGTGAAGATGGCGTGGGAGCGGGATGAGGCTGCATTCATGGCTGTGGAGCCCACAGTACGGGCAGAGTTTCCCAGCTCCAGACAGCCCACCATCTCCTGAGCAGTGAAAACCTCCTTTTCTGTGAGGCCTACAATCTGAAACACCAAAAAGGAATCTTACTTAATCTTATTCCATCGCCACCTTGAGGTAATTTGTTCGGTTTACAATTTGATTCAAATGCAAGTATGGCCCATACATTATTTTCATAAGTCTTTCAAGAAAAGCTATGTAATTCTTTTAAATATTAATTCCTGGAGGCTGGCAGCAGCATCTGCTAGAGCCCAACCTATATACTGTGTGGTCGATAACATCAGCCTATGCTGAGGACCCTCAGTTTTATGCACATTGCCGAAAACAACATTTAAGTGATAAGCACTGTTTAAAACTACTGGAATATAATCTGAAACCTAAAATATAATTACAAAATTATATCAGCCGATATTATTGGTTATTTGAATTTTTATCCCCTATGCATCATCTGCCACAAAATTCAGGCCCTGGCAATTTCACTACTCACTTTAATGCCATCCTTTGGGTCTTCCCTGATGCTAATAACCGGTTTTTCCTTTGAGGTACAGAGAAGATCCAAAATCTCTTCATTGTAAATCTAGGAATAACAACCACAGTGACAAAAAAGGTTTGTTGATTACACAATGCTTCACAGTGAAAAACCGAAGAAATTTTGAAAGGTTTTACAAAAAGGTACCTCAAGATAAGAAACATTTATTATAAATTCACTGTCTGTCCTCTTGGTTTTCTCCTGAAAGATTCTCTTGATCACTCTAGGGATGACCCCAACGACAGGCTCATTCTCCTGCGCTGAAGTGTAGGTGCCACCCATGGAGAAAGTCTTTCCAGAGCCTGTTTGGCCATAGGCCAGCACCGTGGCATTATAACCTAGGGTGGTGAATCATATTCAACATTAGAGGATTCTTTCTCCAACTAATAAAGAGGCAAAATTTACACCAGAATTCACACCAGACATGACACACAAGAAAAGCCTAAGTAAAGTGCAAGCAACCAACCATTCAATCTAGCCTGAATACGATTCAGATCCATCACATAGCTGCTCTTTTCTTTTAATCATTTCTAATTTTCTTTAAAATGGCACAAACAGGTCCTTTTATGGCAACAAAAATTTTTCGCTGTTGGTGTCACACAAAGACTTAATTATGATCATGACAGTACAGTTGTTGCAATAGTGGTTCAGTAACAAGTTTGTAGGCATGAGTTTTACAGTTCATAATTCTATACAAAGTGGAGAGAGTTATCTGAATGGATCTCAGTGGAGTTTACCATCATGTGTCATGTTAGAAAAGGAAACAAAAAGAGTTGTGTTCTGATGGATGCATCCAGTGTGTACTGAAACATTGATTTCTGCCTCCATACAGAACAAAAAAAATGCTTTTACTTCTGTAATGTAAACACAGCTTTAAAAATGCTTTTCGTGCGATTCTACTGGCGACCAGGACTAAATGTATTTGTGCACACCTTTGAAAAGCCCAGACAATAAAGGAGAGACGGCTGTGTTAAACACCTCCTCCTGCTCTGTTGTGGGATCGAATACATAGTCATATGTAAAGGCTTTATCGTTGCCCACCACCACCTGGGAAGAGGAAAAAAATTCAATCTAAATAAAAACAACAGCAGAAGAAAGCACAAAATAAAATAAACAGGGATGCATGGAAATGGGAATCGCAGGCTGATGATGATACTCGATATTTTTCCATGTACACCTGTCGATACTGATATATCAACATTATAAAATGTAGAAATTGGGTTTACGTCTACCTGGATTAGCCTTTCAGAGAAGTATACCATTTTAGTGTTACACACGCAGTAAAATGAATAAAATGAGTACAATAAATAAAGCTTCAAATATTGGTTTGAAACATCGGTCAAATCTACACATCTATCCAATGACAATCTTTTTAAGCGATTATCTGTCAATATCAATAGAATTCAGACCTCATTGTGCATCCCTAAAAAATAAATCCAATACTGACCTGCGGTTCCCCGGGAACAAAGGTGAGGCAGCACTGACATCCCTCGCTGATTTCTTTGGGAACCAGTGGACGGCACCGAAGAGCAACCCTGACTGGAATGGCTTTGTCGTCCTCCTTCGTCATGCTTGAACCAGTGGAAACAATCAAAAATTCAACCAAGATCCGTACAACACTACTGCCATGTCCTAACGCTACATTTTTGCAGTTATTTGTGAGACAGATTTTATTTATTTCAGTTAAACGCTGAGCAACAAGAGGCTCGTGCAGATGGATATGTAGGTTATCTTACAACCGAGTAACATTAATATGTTAACGTCGTCGTCTCTTCGGACCAGTTCACTAAACTGTCCCTGTTATGGACAGACACCCTGCCCCCATGGATACGCTTCATCAGAAAGATCTGAATGGATTGGTTTTAATGGAGAGCACAGTTCTGTGCCCTATGTTCATCCAGAGACAGGGGCGTTAGCTACATTAGCTTAGCTAACCTAACTAACTTATCTAACTCTTGGCGATGGCCAGATTCCCCACAATATCCGACAACGATAAAGATAGAAGTAAAATCAACCGATGCTATGGGTGTCTCCGACTAAACAAACGGGTAACAGTTAAGGGATTAATCTTTTCCTGAAAATACCTTTCTGCAGTTATGCAGCGACGTTACAACTTAACGTTACCACAACGACAACAGGAGCCGTTACGGTATCATGGCATAAAACTCGACCGAATAACGCAGACATTTAGTTACTTACTGAGATATTTAAACTTGGTAAAAGCTACTGAGCTCACTACAACAGCGATGCTCACCAATTACCTACAGACCGCTGACGAGGCTGCCGTTGGCTTCCTATTCGCCAGCTTCTTGTTCGAATTTTCCCATACCACCTTAAATGGATTTGACTGCTGCACCATTTAAGGTGGAACGGGAAAATTCAAACAAGAAGCTGACTTCGAAGACCGCTGTATGCATGTAGCTACGTTAGCTAGCAAACTAACTTCCTAAACGTTTACGCACTAAGTCCTCGGCATACAGTCTCTCAGGGAGAAATACAAACACTACTATGCGGTTTTACATAAGGATATCACGTTATATTACGCAAGCATTGCTTTTCGCCAACTCGCATGAAGCTAGCAGCGCTGCCCGTTAGCTGTTACTGTTAAATTACCTGGTTTCAGACGCGGCGGACTGGCTCCACGCTTCTCAACAAACTTTTTTTTGTCTTCGGCGGTCCAGCGACACATAAAACAGGTTTCAACAAAGATATAAATGCAGTTTATTCAATCTAAACAACAAAAAAACATATTTTCGCCTGCTGTCACCGAATGTAGTAACTCCGAAGATAGAAGTTTTTCTCCCGTTGCAGCGCTTCCTTCTTTCTCTACCCGCCACTTTCAAATCTTCAGCTCCACCTACCACTGTCATCGTCATCATCATCTCCGCTCTGTCGCCCCCTGCCGGTGGACTCGGCCACAAACCTTGACAAAATAAGAGTTTCGTGTGAAAATGCTGCAGATCAATTAGAACAAATCATTTCTTGCGGCGAGATAAGAGATACATTTCAGTGTCCATTACTGGCCAGATGGACAGCAAGTACGGAGCCAGATTTGTTGTGTATGACTAAACTAAAATAGTATTTTATTAAGTCTATTCAACAGCATATAACAGTAATGAGGAGTCATTTCTTGCTGTAGGTTGTATAAGCAGTTGCTTAGAGCCTTCAAGCCACACTATTTAATTCACTATTTAATAAGTGTAAAAAATAATGGAATACTTCCAGCAAAACTGCAGTTCCAGTGCGGAATTTCCAGTGCTGTGCTGATGCACTTCGAGTTACAGAGGAGGAGGCTCCATGCTCTTATGCCCATGTTAGAACTCCGGGTCTAAGCAGAGCCGGTTTGGTCTAAGCTCAATCTCTATATGGCTTCTCTATTGTGAGTTGGTTCTTGAACATTTCCAATTGTAAGTTCTCTTTATATAAGTTCACAGCAGATTTTTAATTGTTTTTTTGTATTTATTGTTTTATTGGTTGTTCGTACTAATGTAAGCTGATGCTTGATTTCTTTCTTACAACGTACTCGAGGCGAAGCACCGGTTAGCAGCCCAGCTTGTTAGCATCCACGTTACAATCGCTTTTCCTACACTTAAGTGGCTCGACTGTCATGTTATCATTCAAATAAATTTGTGTGCAAGTAAAGTAAATTACTTTACTATAAATACTAGTATCTGATGTGAGCGTAAGGGAGAAGGAAGAATAAGTCATTTTCAATTGGAAATGTTACAGTGACGTGCTCTTCTACCATGGTCCTTCATCGGCATGTACTCGGTGACAAAGAAACCCCTCCCGGTGACCTCAGAGATGTTTAGTGATTGGCCAGGTGTAAGTTTGATTATATCTATGCTTGTTTGCTCTTCCCGAATCCCCCGGATGTTTCCCTGAATTTACAGACCTGAATTTCTCAACCTGAAAAAGCGTCACCATTTCAGGTTTAGAATGACAAATTCAGGTTCAGGTTCTGGTGACACTGATTTAACTCCATAGAGGTTCTATTACTGGTATACCTGTAATTATGCGCTACGGTAGAACATTTCAATAAGGTAGCACAACTCACCAGAACACCACCATAGCCTGAAGTCGTTTCGTGTAGCTTAGTGACATCGAATCGATGCGCAGTAGCTTTAGCTTTCATGTAGCAACATTAGTATTAAGACTGTTTAACGACCTCATAATTCAGAGGATCCAGTGGTATTCGGGAGAAAAAATGTACACAGGATAAAACGTATCATGTTCTGGACATTTTTATTTAACATAAGGTGCAATAGAAGCAATTTTCTATAAATCCCATTCATTCTGGCCATAGAAATCAAGCTTAGACCTGGAGTTCCTAATATGGGCATGACATGGACTACAGAATGACGCACGACTATAGAATTACCACTCTGTAACGTCTTCTGTGTTTCTCAAACGCTGGAGCAGGGGTGTCAAACTCGACCACTGAAGGGGCCATATTAAAAAATCTCCACCAGTCTGTGAGCCAGGGAATGTCTATGTCTTTATTTAATTTTTATTAAAGTTGTGCTACAACCCGAAGTGGACATTGTTTATTCAAAATACGCAAAAACTGCAACAGTAAAATAAGGCACTTGTAGTAGACCCTGAACTATTATATGAATACTTTAAATATTCAAAACTTAAATGTCCCCAGGAGCTCGGTCTTTTAAACCTACCTATTTTCTTGAACTAGGCACCTGGCATCTTTTCTTTGCTGCAAGTTCATTAATACTTGGGCTCAGTTTCTGAGCAGCTGAGCTGATGTCAGGTATTTATGTTGGTTGAAGTGCAGCTGAACTGCATTTAGTGTGTTTGGTTATACGTCTGGTGTGGAACTGTGTAGAACTGTGTAGAACTGAGTTGTAACCGCTGTCCCATAGACTGTTGTTAGGGTAGGAGAGTCAGAGCACATTACGTTGCAGTGCATGCTGGGGACTGTAGTGCAGCGAATTGTGAAACGGGCTTTGTGTTTGACACATGGGCACTAGAGGGCGCTCCCTAGCGAGTCCAAAATGAATGGGTTAAGATGGAGCATTTGATTAAAATCAGTTCATAAACGCTTAAACATGTTTAATGTAAAAGACTACATTTATTTCCCGAACACTGAATAGCATAAAACATTTTAACACTGCTGTTATATTTTTAAGAGCTTTTAAACTCGAGTTACAGGCGTTTAAAACGGCCAGTGACGTCCATGACGTCTGTGAGCGCGAACAGCCAATGAGCGGGGGGTAATTCTCATAACTACAAGTTGTCTGGGCTGAAACCCTCTCTGAGGTCTCTCTGTGGTGCACGCGCCTCTATCTAACGTAGGCTGTATATACAGTCTACGGTATATATATACGCAGACACGCTGGCTGCTCAGGATAACAGCAGCACAGTAGCATATTCCACCGAGCGAGCTTATAAAGTCAGCGCTTATTTGAATTAGCCTCGCTTAATGTAGCCTCACAGTCGACTCCAGTCTCAGTTCAACTCAGCGTTTAACTATTACAGTCCGGGTGCGAACCGCTCGCGCTGCTCACGCGCGTGCACGCGATATTTCAGCAGCCCGGACGGTCGAGTGCAGATAAAGCGATATATCAGCTAAAAAAGCACTGAGACTGAAAATATTATTTCAAGCCTTCACAGATGTTTAGTTTGTTTTATGCAAGCGAATAATACTTTAATAAACACGATACTTAATACGTGAACAAAACACTTTTTTAGTTTATAGTGTAAAATCCTATAAAAGATAACAGATTAAAAAAGAAACTCCATACACTGTGTGTCCTAATACTCTCTGCTGTCTTGGCTACACTACTCCCAACTCAGAACTGGAGAAACAATTTATAATTAGACTAAATATATTTAATATTTAACAATATTTAATATTAAACTAACATTAATTCATCACATTAAAATGATGGAGTTAAAAACAGTTTGTGTAAAACGAAGGTAAAATATATACTCCAGGATGGTACAGTGTCAGTGTAGATACTGTACTTATATTGTACAGAATATAAATCACTATGTTTAGAAACCAAATTAACATTACATATTACATCTGTAAAGTAATATTCCAAAATATTGATCTTTCCAAAAGGAAAGACTGCTGTTACTGCCTCTGATGAGGCGGAGGGTTTCTGTAAAGGACCTGATTTGGTGCACCATAATTTCAGAAACATCATTCAGGAACATTCAGAGATCATTCTCCCCAATGAATTAAAAAATACAATAGTGGGAAATGTCCTGACTCTCCAGGGGGATACATAATCAGAGTTTGTAAATGATGTAATTATCAAAAAAACGATGATGATAGTGATGTTCCCCAGAGAGCCTATAACGTTCAGCAGGTTTAATTATCCTCTGATAATGCAGGAGCATCCAGGACCAGCAAGAGGAAGCAGATGTTCACATGACTTCAGAAAAATGTCTGCTTAAAAGAAATTAAGGTGTAACTGAAAAATAAAAAGTTACATTTACACAGGCAATACTGACTAATATTTTGAGGGGCTGTAATGTCTTTACCCTGATTAGATCTCTGATTTAAACCACTTTCATGCAGCTAAATCTTTTTTTTATATCTACTCCATATTAGTTTATTAACTCATACTCGTTTATATTTGACTTTTTTAATCCTATTCTACTTTTAAAAAATAATTATATCCCCAATGTTAAATCTTTCCAGGCGCCACAATATACTCATAATAAAACCTTAGATATAGCTCTGTATGCAGCGGTACGCGGGACAGTTTTGAGGCGGAACTTAGTTCTAAGGCAGTGTTTTAACCCGGCGAACCTGTGACGCCACATGGCTTGGCTACGCTAAGCCTCAGCAAAGCCTGGTACAGAGCAGGTCCGTCCAAAAGCATATGTTGTCATGGTAACTGAGTGGGGCTTAAGATTATCTTCTTTCGTGGAACCGAAATTGACAAAAATTTAGTCAGGTTTATTGAAAAAAGCCTGGCTTATTGATTTAGCTCGCATCCTGGAATACCCCGCGGCTGTGCGCGTGCAGGAACTCCACTGTTAGTCATCGCTCATAACGTCACATCATCACGTCACTCTAGCGCTGCGCGCGTGTAATTTGAGCTGTTCTGTTATTACAGACTTTGTTCTGTATCTATTAAACTCATGTCACCATGACTAAGAATCTAAAAATACAGTTAACCGCGTAGCCCTAATTCCTCAATTCATATGGACGTTTATATAACTAATAAAGGTTATGACACTTAAAATATTTATTTATTTATACACACACTCATTCTACATTTGCAAAATAAACCAAGCATCGTGGATCATTGGCGACAGTGGCAAGGAAAAACTTCCTCAACAGGAGGGGGACAGATAGTTAGTTCAGCACCAACATTCCCAGATTACCATAGGACTCTCTGTCCCAGATCTGCGCTTTTTCTAACAGGAAAACAAATTAACCAAAGGCTCGACTAAACAGGTAAGTTTTTAGCCTAGACTTAAAGATGGAGGCTGTGTCTGAGTCCCGAATACAGACTGGTAGGTTGTTCCAAAGCTGGGGGGCGTTGTATGAAAAGGCTCTTCCCCCTGACGTAACTTTATTTATTCTGGGTACTAATAATGAGCAGCACCTTGTGATCTAAGTGGGCGTGTCGGTTGATAATAGAAATTAAGGTCACTGAGGTACTGAGGAGCAAGACCATTCAGAGCTTTATACGTCAGCAGAAGAATTTTGTACTCAATGCGGAATTTAACTGGCAACCAATGTAAGGTACACAAAATTGGGCTAATGTGGTCAAATTTCCTGGTTTTGGTGAAAACTCTGGCTGCAGCGTTCTGGACTAACTGAAGCTTGTTAAGGTTTTGGCTGGAACAGCCAGAAAGCAGGGCGTTACAGTAATCTAACCTGGACGTGATAAATGCGTGAACTAACGTTTCTGCATCTTGTAGCGACAGTGCATTTCTTAATTTAGCGATGTTACGCAGGTGGAGGAAAACTATTCTGGTAATATTGGTAATATGCTCATCGAAGGCCAGATCGGGATCGATCGTGACACCAAGGCTTTTTACAGATGTGCCTGGTGCAACTGAGAAACTATTGAGATTAAGAGTTAACAAAGCCTGAGGCAACGAGTAAATGACCACCCAAACCAGCCCTGACTCTAATCTATGATGTTTCCAGCAGCCAGACTGAAATAATTCATGCGTGCTTTGCTTACTTATAATGAACGAGTTGTTGGGCAATAACTTTCTCCAAAATTGCAATATAGCAATTATGAACACATATATAAATATAGTTTAGCCCCGCCCATTCACATGTAAATTACAATGAGTGTTACAAATTATAAGGAGTAAATGCTGGATTGTGTTGATTCCAATGCAGGTTCTAAAACATTATTTCTATTTAAACAGTCTATACTAGGGAAAACCACACTTTACTCACTTTTTGAAAAACAAAACAAAAAACAGGGTCTTACTGTACTATGTAAACATTAAAATTCAAAATGACTTTAAAGTTTCAAAATGTATAGCTCACTCCTCTTTTCTTACAGTCCATTTATGGAAACTAATTGCAAAAACCACCATTTTTCAATTAATTGTTTTTGTGATGTCACGTAAACCAATACAATTACACATTCAATAATAATAATAATAATAATAATAATAATAATAAACACCATGATCTAAATAAAATAACATCACAATAACAAACGACAGAAGAAAATACCACAAGCCACAATACTTCTAGGCATATGCTGAACAAATGTGTTTTAAATCTGTCAAGCTTGCACTTCAAATATTCTCTTCAATGCTATTCCAGCGTTCATGAGCTTCCACCACCTAAGCTGTAAGTGATCCTAGGGGTTGCCTTCTTCAGCTGAGCGAAATGGTCTGGATGGGCTATAACATTTCAACAGATCAGCAAGATATGCCAAAGCTAGACCATTAACAGCTTCATATGTCATAACCCAGATTTTGTGGTCATTGTGAAACGTAACAGGAAGCCAGCATAAACTGATTAAGACTGGAGTAATATGCTTTTCCTGGTAAGCACATGGGCTGCTGCTTCAGAACTAGTCTGAGCCAATTAAGAGAGACAGGAAGGCAACCAGCCAGTGATTACAGTGATCTAATCGAGCATAAACCTATTTCTCAGTATTTTTTAGGGTTAAGCACACATTTTGTGTATGTTTCTCAAGTAACAAAATGCAGCCTTAGAGACACTGGAAATCAAACGATAAATTAGCATCCAGTGTTACTCCAACCTCCAAGGTCTTAAACTGTAGCTTATGGTTGCACTGCAATGAATGGGAGTAAATGGCGCTCAACGGCTAAAAACGAAAAGTTAAAATAGTTTCTAATCACTCGCCCAGAACGTTTCTTTAATTTTAGAAAGTAGAAGGGTGTATTTCACTAAAAAAAACAAAGAAATCTTAACCATATATTGAATGGGTTGACCAAAACCATAGCTTATAAATGCTTAAACATTTTTAATGTAAAAGAATGTAATCATTTCCTGAACACAGAACAGCATACAACATTTGAACACTGCTGTTATATTTTTAAGAGCTTTTAATCTCGAGTTATAGGAGTTTAAAAGGCGCCTCATATACGTTCATGACGTCAGTGAGCGTGAACAGCCAATGAGCTGCTCCGTTCGCCAATCATCACGCTTTAGCACTAATGCCCGTTTTCTGTTGCCCAAAACCCGTTTGCTGTTGAAAAAAGGAAATATAAACTGATTTCTTTGTTTTTTTTTAGTGAAATACATCCTTCTACTTTCTAAACTAAAGTTTCTGGGAAAGTGATTATAAACTATTTTAACTTTTCGTTTCTAGCCGTTGACCTCCATTCACTCCCACTCATCGAGGACTCACTCGCGGGCGCCCCCTGCTGTTCAGCGGTCCTGTTTTTGATATAGCGGGGAGATAGGAAGCGGCCAGGCTCCTCATAAACCGGCTCTGCCTACGCTAAGACTCTGCAAAGCCTCAGCTTCAGCCTGGTACAGTGCAGGTCCGTCCAAAAGCATATGTTGTCATGGTAACTGAGTGGGGCTTAAGATTATTTTCTTTCGTGGAACCGAAATTGACGAAAATTAGTCATGTTTATTGAAAAAAGCCTGGCTTATTGATTTAGCTCGCATCCTGGAATACCCCGCGGCTGTGCGCGTGCAGGAACTCCACTGTTAGTCATCGCTCATAACGTCACATCATCACGTCACTCTAGCGCTGCGCGCGTGTAATTTGAGCTGTTCTGTTATTACAGACTTTGTTCTGTATCTATTAAACTCATGTCACCATGACTAAGAATCTAAAAATACAGTTAACCGCGTAGCCCTAATTCCTCAATTCATATGGACGTTTATATAACTAATAAAGGTTATGACACTTAAAATATTTATTTATTTATACACACATTCATTCTACATTTGCAAAATAAACCAAGCATCGTGGATCATAAGTGGTTTATAAATGTTACATTTATTTGCGTCAAGCATATCTTACAACTCAGGTAAACATCTACACCACAGTACACATGTAACAGTTTGAACTGATACTAAAGCATTCATTGAAAGGATTTTGCATTTTGAAATATTATGAATCACAATAAGTTAACACATTAATCCTTCATAAACCTGAACATATACTTTTTGGTAAGAGCTGTTTATGTGCAAATGACTTTCAAGTATTTTATGTGTTAAACAGCAGGAGCAGATGGTAAGCATCAGCACATTATCAACCTAAATAAAACAACAAGATTCGCAAAAACTAGCTTTAACTATCATTTGAGTTCACAACTGACTTTTGGTGGGAAGCAGCTTCACTGTATCTGAACCATTAGCATATTCTGTGGGTCATGTGTAAAAGAGCTTTAGAATAAATCTTCTGAGTTACAAAAACATCTAAATCATTCACAGAGTGCTGCTCAGTGCATTTTAAAGACGTCCCATGCCACTGCCATTCGCTCTGTATGATCCATTAAATCCTAAACAGGAAAAAAAGAGTTATTAAAAAAAACATACAAATTTTTCTCCAATAGGTTTGACTTAAAAAAACAGAAGCAAAGAAAGCAAACAGAACAAAATGAGAAAGAAAAAGAAATAGAGAATACCCACAGATTTTTGAGTGCTGTGGTTCTCTTGTCAAACCCAGCGGAGTTCAGTGCTATACAGGTCAAAGTGGTGGAGTAGTCCTCTGGTAAAACTTGTGTGAACAGCAGAGTAGTCTTGAGGGGCCTACCTGAACCAGTGACACTGAAAAACATTAATTCAGTTCAACTTTATTTTCATTATACATATACAGGGGAAGAGTATAACAACACATGTTTAGGGTGCCTAATAAAGGATATCTAATAAAATTTCACTGTCAACTGTATCGAAAAGCTCCATTCAAGGCCAGCAGTTCCAGAAGAGACATTTCCACATTCTGAGGCTGTATTCAGACGGCAGGCAAAGCAGATTTGTGTCTCAAGCCAGATCTTTCGAGGTGACTGTCCTCACTGTTATTTGCAAGTAATCAGATCAGATCAGATTTGTGTGACATCACCAATCTATCTGTAAGGGTTGCTGTGGTAATGATGTCTTCTCACCCTCTAAACAATCGCTTCCATCACTCTGGATTTGACACTGTTGTTGTTTGTCACGTTGCGAATGATGCAAAACACACTTTGAAATGTGATTTGAGCGGCCAGAACGGCCAGACATTTTTTAATTAGTTTTTTTGCTGTCTAGATTATCAAAAATCAATCTGATACAATCTAGATATGCCAAAAATCAGATTTGGCAACTGACTGAGGCAACGAGTATATAACCACCCAAACTGATGTTTCCAACAGCCAGACTGAAATGATTCATGCATACTTTGCTTACTTATAATGAACGAGTTGTTGGGCAGTAACTTTCTCCAAAATTGCATTACAGCAATTATGAATACATACACACACACACGTATATATATATATATAGCCCTGCCTATTCACATGTAAGTTATAATAAGTTACAAATTATAAGGAGTAAATGCTGGATTATGCTGATTCAGTTTCTAAAAAAAAAATTCTATTTAAACAGTCTTTTATATATATATATAAATTAATTACAAATTGATACATCTTTAGTACATAAGCCCACACAAACACTATACATGGACATGAGAATCACCAATTTATAATGTCCATTTGATGTAAAGGTCTCGAGTCTGTTCTTACCTTTTCTGAAATGTTTGCACTCTGCCATCTGGATAGAACTCCTCCACAAAGGTGCCGTTGACCAACCAGTACACTGTAGTCATTGCTTTAAGTGACTCAGCCTTCACTTTACAGGTAATGTAGTACCGGTTCACTGAGAATTTGAATATTGCACACATTTTAGTTAAGACTGAATATAATCTCAGTTTCAAATTGTCAAATTCTGGAAGCTGATTTGGCTACAGAGCTCATAGTAACACTATATCCTAAAGTTTGAACAAATGAATAATCTTTCCATTAACTGATGTATAGGCAAATAAGAAGAAATGAAGTGAAGTAAATGAAGTATATAAAAATAACAGTGCACACAATAAATTGTGCATTAATACTGTTACTGTAGTGTTCTTACCATCAAATTTGTGCAGTACAGCAATAATCTTAGGGCCTGTAATTTCCAAACCTTTAAAGCAGAATAGATCACCATGTTAAAATGCTTTAGCCAAATATCAGAATCATATTAAACCTACAGCATACAGTGGAGTGCCAGTACAACAGAAATTATTTCATGTGTTTTAAATGGACCGAGGCAAAATACTGATATAAAATAAAAGTACTGATTCTGAATCTGAGTCCTAGATGCCCCTTTCAATACAAATTACTTCAAAAAAACAAGACTACTTCTGTAGTAGATTTTTAAAATAAGTTAACATGAAGGAAAGTGAATTTGTTAAGGTACACAGAAAGGATGCATTTACTTGCAGAGCAAAAAGTAGGGTAACATGAAAATATTCAGGTCATACTGAATATGTCAAAAGAGAACTATATATTCATAAATATACACTCTGATATGTCTGCACTGAGGAGAAGCTGGGAAAGAAGCCACATTAGCTACTCACAAAAATCAGTTAGTAGTGACTTTTCAAGACGAGCCATAAGCTATTTTACTACAGGGCTATGAGAGCCTATCACAGGCAAATTCAAATGAAACTGTGATATGTAAAATTGCAAAGTATTCCAGTGTATGAATTAAAATTTCCCACTTTACATTGCTGCCTTGTGGCATATGGTCTTGTTACAGAAAAGATGCTATACACGACAATAAGAAGAGCTTAAAAACATGATGTTTCAGCCTATATTTGAAGATTTCATCAGATATAAAAGACCCAACACAAAACACATGATTTCCTTTGTTTTGAGTCTCATATATCTGATGAAGGCCTTGAATGTGGGCTGAAATGTTCCGTTCTAAACTCAATAAAGTGTTTTTTCTTGTTTTGAAAGAGTGTTAAAACTTTTTAACAAGACTTTTTATTCATTTTGTTTGAAGCAGCCTTTCTCCGTTGTCTTAGCTCAACATGAAAATGCACACTTAATAAAGGTATTAGTAGTTCTTTACTCTTTGGTATGCTAGCGCTGACATTTTATTTTGAGATCCGCTGTAAAGGTTCACCAGAATGGCTACACTTAACCAGGGCTATTTTAGTAGTGGACCAGCCACAGAATGCTGCAGTAACAGCCCAACCTTTTTCCTGAGAAAAACCCTTGAGGTTTCAAACCTATTTTTGAAGGGACTTTTCATACTTCTAAATCAGAACTCAACTTTTTTAGCTAAAAAAAGAATCTAAACACATCCTCTTAGCTGGAACATTGCTGTAAAATAAAAGTAAAAAGTCCACCGATTTTCTAAACTTTCAGCTTAACTGAATTATGCCAAATCGTTTATTCAGTGTTTTGGTGTGACTGTAAAGAGACAGTGGGATTACAGTGGTGGTGACAGAAATGTCTGCAACACAAACATAACCATTTTATTTACTATCCAAAACGACGGGTGAGCCCACATGCGTCTTCTAATTTCTTACATGAAATGCTGATAATGGTAAAACAGTGTTAAAAGCTAAATAGTAAGTTTTCTTTGGGAACTATTTTGTCTGACTGTATCCCTCCGCCATGAACGGATTTTTAAAAAACTATACGTTTTAGACCTAAACGCAGTGGTGGACAGTAACTAAGAAAATGAAATTCATTACTGTACTTATGTAGTTTTTTCACGTATTTGTACTTTACTGAAGTATTTCCATTTTTAGTGACTTTTTACTTTCACTCCACTACATTTCAACGTCTAATATCTTACTTTTTACTCCAAAAAAAAAAAAAATCTGTTGTTCCTTTTGGCTTATGTGTGTATAAAAATGTAATGTCAAAACGAAAGAAGCATGAAGCAAGAACACCACTAAGGGCACAGCGCACACTTAGTTTTGAACTTGTTTTGACCTGTTGGACATCCCGACCCAGTGCAAGCATACAGTTCAATGACAGTGCAACAGGGTGAAAGTTTAAACTTGTTTAAATTTGAACTAATTTTTATTTAAACTAAGTTGTAGTTAAATCTTAAACCAAAACTTTTGCTTGTTCGCAAAAGGTTATTTCAGAGCCACTTAGTTCTACCTAACGGAAATTGTTTGCCTTCAGTGTTTTATGCTTATGATAATTTTAATAGACACCTGCGTCAGACTAATTAATGACAATTTATTAAAAGATTGGTTTACCAAGAGACACTGGAGTATTTTCACCTAAAATGAGTTAACGAAGCGAGTCTTGTTACAAAAATAGTAATAGGACATTAGATAATTAATCTTTTAGTACTTACACTTTTGATACTTAAGTACATTTGAAGGCAAATACTTTTGTACTTTTACTCAAGTGGAGGTCTAAAGGGAGGAACTTCTACTTTTACTGGAGTAGTATTTTACCTTGGGCATCTCTACTTTAACTCAAGTACGTGGTTTGTGTACTTCGTCCACCACTGCCTAAACGCTACCTTAAAACTACCGTAAAACAATCTCTCAAACATTCAGAAACATTTAATGTAACAGCTTTCTGTGAATGTTGGCTGTTAGAGGGATTAAACTGTTCAGACGTCTGGTTCCCATCACCACCACTGTCAACCACTCTGACTCTAAGTCGAGTTTCTCTAGAAATTCATTGTCCTGATTAAATTACACAAAAATAAGAACAAAAGAATAAAAACAGGCGGCCTTTTGGGCCTTTCTAATACAGCCAATAACGAGCAGTAACTGAATTAGCCGCTAACTGCTTCAACGTACCGGATCCGTCCTTAGACAGCGGCTGAGACAGGAGCACCATGGCGGAGACGGAGCAGCCGAGAAAAATCCCTAAAGAGAGAGAAAAACACAGACTCAACACCTCCACCGAGCACTAACAGAGGCGCTCTGACTGAACCTCATATCATGACAGAAAGTAACACAGTTTAGTATCACAGCACAGAATACTCTCCGCTCCACCTTAATTGGTACCGTTACAGCCAGGCGCCTCAATACAAATATGCACCGTTATCGCCTGCAGCACTTAAGGTGGAGAGGAAAGTTCATATTTATATTCATATATTTAACAACATACAGAGAGAATAAGGAGGCAGAAGAAGTGCGAGTTCATAATTTACCTGTTAAGGTGTGTGTCCACGTCATGCTGACCTCTGTGTCTGTGTGAGTGTGTGAGAATAGCAGCAGGTCCATTTAAAGAGCTCCAGACCGACCACACCGCCCACTCAGTTTCCCGTTACTACAGTGATAAAACTATAAACCAACAAAGAGGAACTGAACGGTGAGTGTGAGACGTGCAATACTGATCCAACGCACATATAACGAAACTGCAACGTAACTTCACTGTTCTAAAAATGGACTCGGAGGAGCCCGTGTCAGAATTAAAATATGCAAAATTAATTCAGGAGAATGAAGCTTCTATGTATGTAAATGACCGTTAAAGCCTACTACAGGGAAATGCCAGGTATCTTTAAAATCTGCATCATGAAACGTCCAAACGTTTAACGTCATTCAGAGCGTTTGGAGTGAACGCTCCTTTGTAAAGAAACTTACTGAGTCACGATTGTTCACCATAGTAATGAATGGAACCAGACACCCGAAATATTTAGTAGCTCACAAAAGCTGCATGATAGGAAATTTTACATGAAGTGGTTATGAATACACACCTAAAAAAAGTGGCTGGTCAGTATGTGTATATAAGTAACTATAATTATGTACAATTTTATATATATATATATATATATATATATATATAGGAAGAAAACCTCATATCTTCAAAATGGTACAGGAGAAGGGAAAAAAAACTGAACCAGACCACAGAGTTTCCTTGCATGTGTCAGCCTTTCTAAAAGTTTTACAGAGCACATTTCCAAGCATCTTGAGATTGTTTGTGTTACCAAAAGAGAAACCTTCATTGTAGAAATTAGTCGTAAGACAAACAAAAACTTCACTGCAAATAAAGAGGTGGTCACGTACAGTGGTTGGACAAAATGTTATTGAGTTGTGTCATGTACAGTTTTACAAAGGACCTTTTTTCTTGGCAGCCAGTGGGACATCCACGTACCGCACTTCACAAGAAAAACAAACAATAACAAATAATAACGGAAGAGGGAATCTGGAAAATAAAAATGACCCCCTGCTAGCAGACTTGAGGATGCACACAGTACCCTAAAATGGTCTGGATGGGAAAGGAGCAGCCACTTATTGAATAGACCACAAATGTATGTAGCACTCCCTCTCAAAGACTATGAAGCAGCTTATGTCCAGTAACTTAAGAAATAATGAAATGTGGGTTAGCCAAGTATATCCTACTGGAAAAGTTAAAGAGCCCCGAGATGGTGGATTAAAAACAAACTACTAAAGTGAGCCAAAAAAATGGGAAAGAGGACACATGGAGCAAGGATAATGTGTTAATGTGTATGTTAACACTTTTAAGGATACAATTTAAGATTAAAAAGCCCATTAAGACTGGTGAGAACCTTCTTTAAAAAAAAAGTCCTAAAATGATAAACCAGTTGATTTCAAAATGAGGTCCACACTTCAGGAGGTCCAAAAACAGATAACATTAACAAAGACATCCAATGCCAGACCGCTAGTAGAATTCATTTTTTTTCCTTTAAATACACATAAGCACGGTGTGTGCCTATATACAGTACATTACACGTTGGAGATAAAGTCCCAGTCCCCTTGGAGCCAAAGACATTTTCCCCCTCCTGCCACAACAGTTTGCGTCCAATGCACCAGTCTGTCTTGGCTCGGCTTTGCAGTCACTCCAGCCCTAGGGTGTAGTTGATGCCCTGTACTAGTCCAATTATCACTGGTTGCCAGGCCACGAGATAGCGAAGCCAGTCCAGTAACTGTCCGTACATAACGTGAGGCCTTTCCCATCTAAGGACGTCCAGTTAAAGAGACAAACTTACCAACACACAAACATACATAAACAAACAAATAAACAAGCAGGCAAGCGAGCAATCCTTTTGCCCACTCAGCACAACTTACAATTGCATCTTTTCTTGTAAATCAACTCAACAATAATTATAGTCTTACATATAGCAGCAACAGGTGGTCAGTTTTTGAATTACAAAATGAGATGTTTCTTGAGATTCTGCTACATTCACCTACATTTATGAAATTTTAAAATACTGGGGAAAATTAAAACATGAAATATAAAATGTTTCCTGCCCCCCACCACCCTCCCCCTGGTTGGGTGTGCATTAAAATGTGACAGTGTTTTATTTGCTGAGGATGAGTTAATTTATTTTCACTCAGAAAATCAACAAACATGTCATTTAACCAAAGGTGCCCAAACCTTTGCATAAGATTGTATGTTTGTAGCTAAACTTTCATGTGCCTAAAGAAGAGATTTGTCGTATTTTTTATAATTTGACTCTATAGAAAGCTTTAAAAAGCAGTGCATTTAGCTCTAGCTATCTGTGGACAAAAACATCATCAGTCTGTATTTATTATCTTCAATAATTCAACCTGAACATAAGTCACATGAAAGCAGGACAAAATACAATTTCTAAGTATCATCACCGCTGTCTAATGAGAACAACAGTGGCTGCATGCTCCAACTCCCCTGTGATTATAGTCCCCTTGCTGCCATATTTTACGTTAGATCTTGTTTGAAGGGGAACTGGATCTTTCCATTTTGCTATTGCTTTCGTTAAGTCTGCTGAATTACTAATATGGCCAGCATCATGGTGAATTGTATCTGAATGAAAGGACTGCACATTTATAGCAACAGCATGCAAGCAGCTGAGATCCAGACTGGAACGATGAATGTTTTGAAGTAGGAAAATGTGTTAATTGGTGGTGAGGTCTCTAAAGCCCTCACTCATTCATGTCAAAACAGTCAGAATAAACTTTACATCTAGATATTCGTGGTTCCTTCCTGCAAAAGTGTGATGCACTTACACCACCATCATGACCAATGACACAAAAACCCAAATTAAAACTGTGCTATATCACAACGGAAATGACTTATGACTTCATTTTTTCCAGAAACATGTCTGCTACAAGATTAGAGGGCCTTTCAGAAGTGCTGTATATATGTTTATATAAAGTACAAAATGCTTACAATAAGTGAAATCTACTGACTAGGGAATCCTCTAAAGCACAGTAATGAAATACTATTAATGTATATTAAACATACTTTATTTACTTTGTTTTTTCTGTTGGGACATGTTCATTTTCCTTCTCAAGATTGAATTATTTGTCATTATTATGATATTTTAAACATTGTTTCCTAAGACAACAGATGTCTACTTTCTAAAGAACACTAAACTGAGTTTACATTTATTTATGGCATTTGACAGACTTACAATTTCATTATTTTACACAAGTAGGCAAAGGTAGTGTTAGGAGTCTTGCCCAAGGACCCTCATTGGTATAGTGTAGGGTGCTTGCCCAGGCAGGAAATTGAAGCCCAGTCTAGAGCGTAGAAGGCAGAGGTGTTACCCACTACACCATACCAACCACCAAGTTTACTTGAGATAACAAAATTAACAGAACGCTATCTGAGATCTCTGCGTGCATGTATGCGTAGGTACATCCATTATTTCGGGGCTGTATGAGTGTACAGTGTGCTTTCAGCTCTTAAGTATAATCTTTAACAGCCCCAATAGTGTGATCTTTAGTTTCCGTTGGCCATTTATATGTCAGCAGACTTAGACTTGAGGGGCTGTATTAATCAGTAATGCTGGTGGCAGCAGTAAGAAGCTGAGCACCATTATCCATTTTCTTGAGAGCTCAAAAAAAATTGTCCATTTGCAAAATAATGACTGACCTGCCTCTTAGCCAGTCCAAGCCATTTCTAAGGGAATTTGACTTCCAGTCTACATAACTGAGCAAATTACAATATAATTTGCTCAGTTATGGTAAGCTGTCTAATGACGTTGCCTGAGCGGCAGTTCGAAAAGATGCGTTGGCTGGCATTGTGTGAATGGGGGAGTCCTAACTAGTGGGTGGAATTGAGTATGATTGGATATGCGTCCAACAGCTGCTCTGCTGTGCCGCACATTAACTGCTTATTAAACATCTTCAAGTGAAAGTTTGTGAGGTATCTGTTGATTAAGGATGCTTTTTTTTTTTTTAGATAACCTGATTATAAAGTGAACAAATTACTTTTGAAATTCATTCTATGTTTAAGGCACCTCAGTGTAACTGCAGCATCATTTAAGCTGAAACAGAAAATTCAAATGAGAAGCTGATAAATAAGAAACTTTTTTTTTTTTGGAAAAAGTTTTTGGAAAATCTCACAGATTGGAATATTTGATCTCTGGAGAAATGCAGGCTATATAGTGCAGTCCACCAATCTAGCCAATTTGTAGCTATGCTCCTTGTAGCATTTTTTTGGAGAATGCATTTCAAGCACCTACACAACTTTTCATCTTTTTATGGTCATGATGAGACAAGCTTTATCAGAGCACAGAGATTCAGCTTGCCTACCAACATGGCAATGTGGTCTTCGTAATGACGTAACTGAATACTAAGAATATTGCTGACTAGTATTAGGTTAGTCTGAATAATAAAACATGCTGCACATGGATGACAATTCTGATAGTTGTGGCCAGTTTTGTGTGCAAAATATATTAATGCTCTGCCTCTGTGAAGTTGAGACTCGGGCTTCTGTACCACTAGGTGGAAGTTCGGAAATTTTAATTAGAATGAAGAATGCCATTAAACATGGTTAGAAATGGGCAAATCTTCTCTTAATGATGACACAGAAACTGTGACTTTTGAAAATGGTTGTCTCTGAAAAGTTTTGACCACTATCATATGGTTGGGTGGCATTAACTGTGTTCCTGAGACATGCTTAAAAAAAGGGTCAGCCAAATGAAAACACTTATTATTTTACCAGAAGAATAAATAATTTATATTACTAGTATAACCTACTATTAAATTATGAAACTAATAAGTCATACTTGACTTAATAGTGGTAATGTGGTCATCACAGGAGTGAGTCAACTAGCTGGCATTACTTATATCTCATGTCATAGTTTCAGTCTACGTGAAATTACAATGTAACTACTATTGATGAGTCTTTCCTTATGAGTCAGTGTCTGATCATACAAAAGGATTTGGTAATAAACAGTATGACTTACTGAAATCTCACACTGGACTGACAGAGCTTCTTATTCCCAAATTTTCTGAGCTGGTGGTTATGTTAGGTGCTTTTCATTCTCCAAAAGGGATATTTTTTCTGACCAGACATTACGCAACATTTCAGGGAACACTGG